AAGCAGACTGTGATTGTCTATTGTTGTGACTTAGATGATGATCAGATCACATTTTATGACTAATTTGTGCAGAAATCCATATCATTCCAAAGGGTTCACATACTTTTTCTTGCAACTGTACATGTTATAATTGTGGAGACCTGCGAGTCTCATTGTTATACTTATATAAATTCCGCAAATGATAAAAAAACATATTTACAAAAAAAAAGAAGAGTTAGGAATACGTAGACAGTCTATCAAGAGCGGGTGTTGAAGAAGGTGGGTTTTTCTGAGGGTTTGTCTTAAAACTCATAAACTTACGAATAAAAAAAAATATGAGTTAGGAAAAAAACTGTATTATATCTGACTCTGGAATGATAACTATTCTTTAGCTTCCCTTCCCACTGGTTGATGACAATTCGGACAAACTGTAGAGAACATCTGGGCATGTCAAGATCAATTTCAAAAATTGCCCCTTATGATTCTACACCTCTGATGTGCCCTATCTGTTCCTAGAAGGGCTTTCTGATGTCACCTATTTACTTTTCATAGGGACATCTGATCTTGGACACCCTAGGAGAAAGGCATGCACATTGCCTTCTCTCCTTGAGCTCTCATTGACTGTCAGCATCAGGGGAGCAGAGTTACAGTACCCGGACTTCTCACAAACAAGTAAGAAATCATTACAATCAGCAACAGCCTGCCTATAAAACTAGTACCTTTTTACCATCCAAACAAAACCTATGGTGGAAGGTGTTGGGTGGGAGTAGAGGAGTCCATAGCCTATGTTTGAGGTTTGGGGACTTGGATGTTCTTGCAAAAACATTTTTATTGGGATTTAAGTTTTCATCACATGGTGCAAGTAACAGGTCGATACATTATGACCAGAAGGCAATATAACCAAGCAGGTAATGAGAATAACAATTACTGAGGCTTTCTACAAATGATTTCTGGATCGGCCCAGAAAGTTACCAGGTAAAGCGAGAAAGTAAAAAATATGTAACAGACACTGACACATTATTATTACACACTGGGACATTATCATTTCAGTTGAAGTACGCAGGTAGGGATCACACTACTACATGAAACATAAGAGTATTAATAGTAGCATTTAGTATTTTATGTACCATGGGGTTGAACTCTTACAACAGTGAAGCTCGTAAGACTGCAGACTCTATAGTGAATAGTCATTGGGACAGTATGGATCGATAGGTAAATGACTCAGTTGTGCAATCATATTCACTGTCCATTTACTTGATTTAAATACATCAAATTAATCTAGAGGGTTGAACTCCTAACTTTGGGAAATCTGTGGCGTTGGGTACGGAGGACCTTGGCAGGTGTTTCCAAAGATGCCATTGAATGTCTGGCTGTCAGCAGGAGCTGACTGAAGGATGTTCCAAGGTTAGCTTCTGCTGGCGGTCAGACAATAAATGTCACTGGCAGCAGGTAGTCCCAAGGTGCCAGGCACTGCCTGGCTGTTAGCAGGGGCTGACTAAAGGGATGTCCCCCACTCAGTGAGGATGTTCCAAGGTCAGCCCCTGCTAATTGACAGACAATAAATGTCCCTGACACCTGTCATGGTCTTCCTAGCCAATAAATGCACGCTGGCTTCTCGGGTGGGGGGCCATTTGTCCTGGTGCTCCCCCTTGGATCCACCACTGGAGACAGCTCGCAGGACAGGCTGCAGGTTCGCATGGTGCAACAGCTAACTCCACCTGAACCACCCATGCACTCGCTATCCAGCAGGCAACAGGGAGAGCAAATAAAAACCCGCTTGAACTTAGAAGACGCCAGCCATGACTCTGTCGTTGACTGCTATATGGTTACGTAGATGGTAATAGGAGGTGGGAATGGCTGCTAATGCTGGTAACTGTATGACAGAGAGACACTACCCTAATGTTAGTGTTAGGAAAGTGGTAAATCCCAATGGCGGTGGGATTGTTGTGATGCCTAATGGAGAATGGGGATTGGTGATGCCTGATGGCGATGGGAGATAGCGGGGTAATGCCTCACAGTGAAGAGAGAGGGAATAGGTGATGCCTTGTAATGATGTGAACACCACCATGAGAAATCACCCTCCTCCATCACCACTAGGTATCAACCCCACCTTTAGACATTACCCCACCTCTTTCTCACTTCATAACTAGGCATCACCTCCACCACCATTAGGAATCACCTCTTTCCCAATACCATAGTGCATCTCGCCTCCCTCTACCCTCACTATTAGGAATTATACTCCCTCCCACTCCCACCATCATTAGGTATCATCCATCACCCTTTAAAACCACTAATATAAACCCTTTTCCATTACTACCTACAGCATTCTCCCAGATCCTTGCTGTCTCTCCTCCGCTTGTAGATGGAAGGGGGAGATACCGAGTTGTGGTGGCAATGGAAAGGAGTATTGGCTGCTAAATAATGGTGCGAAAGGAAGGGATGATGCCTAATGTTGCTGGTAGAGAGAGGGGGTGATAACTAATGGTAAAGGAAGAGTAGGATGATCCCTTAAGAAGGGCCCTCGCCCATAGTAACTAGGTATCATCACTATTAGGCATAACACTTCTCCCTCTTCTATCACCATTAGGAATAAACCTCTTCTCTCTCTCATCACCATAAGGTACTAACCCCCTCCCTCTCTCATGGTTATAAGGCCTGACATCACTCTCCCATCACTATAAGGCAACCCCCTTTATCTTCCACTGCCAATAGTAGGCACTGTACTTCCCTTAGTATTTCTCTTACACACATGGTAGATGGAAGATAGAGGGGTGAGCCTAATGGTGATGGAGGAGGGAAGAAATTGTGGATACCTAGTGGTGACAGGAGTGGCAACAACTGATGGTGATACAAGAGAGGTGGAGGGTGATACATAATGGATATGGGACAGGAAGGAAGTGGTGCTAAATGGTGATGAAAGGGGGGTGGTATCGTCCTCCCTCTCCCATCATCATTAAACACACCTCATTTCCTCTCCCATTCATTAATAAGCCTCCCATCTTTCTCCCATCACCACTATTCAGCACTCTCCCTCCCATCACAATTAGGCATCAACCCTCTCTAATCCATCATAATTAAACATCACCCACTCCTTCCCCCAGCATCATTAAGCATCAAGTCCTCCCTCTCCCATCACTAACGTTAGGCTCTATGAAACTCTCTCCTACGCCCATCACCAACGTATAGGAGAAGAGCCAGAGTGTGAGTGGAGAGAAATGGGTGATGGCTGCTTAAAGAGAAACCATAGGTGGAAAATGTCCCTCCTTTTACTGCATTATATAGAATAGGGGGTCTCAAACCACTGACCGATGGGCCACTTTTTCCCCCCTAAGCAACTTCTTGCAGTTTGGGGTGTAGGAGGGAAACTGCTGGCACCTCAATTTCCAGACTGTGTGGTTAAACACCGGACACCTGGGAGCTGACCATCTTTTAATTGAGCCGCTGCCTGCTTACCCACTGACCGGCATTGCAGAGTGGTGCCCTGGGATCTGTGTGTATGAGAGTGTCCGTGAGTGTCCGTCAGTCGATGTGTATGTCTGAGAGTACAGACCTATGTGTGTGTAAGCTGCACCCAATTGGTAAATTTGGGTTTGATACCCCTGATATAGATAATGCGGTAAAAGGATAAATATTCAAAATGACTCCCACTTTTAATACATTAAAAACAATAGTTACCATGAATGATCCCAGCAGAGGCTCGGTTTAGTGAGACTGACTGCAGTTACAGGCAGCCAGCCCCTCTCTGAGCTAGAAGAGGTTCAGGAGCATCTCATTTTGGACTAGATCCAGGCTGTGTTTATGGGATAAGAATTTTATCCCCCAGGAGCAGTTCCAATCACTACAAATGATGAACAGAACATCTATGTATACCGATAGCAGCCATACTGCAATTGCTATCAGTTTATACACAGTCCAGTTCACTGTTTAATGAATTGAGCTGTGTGCACAGCTTGGCAGAGGAAAAAGAGCCCCGTTCAAGTTGTGTGTGGGGTATGGATGCCGCAGAAACAAGTTGGACAGAACCGATCTTCCTTATCAGGATGTCAGTCAGACAGGCAGAGGAAGGTGGAGCTTCATGCTCCAAATCTCAAAAGATTACAAGATCTGAAAAGTCACTGCGCCAGAACTACTTCATCAAGATAAAATTGATTTGGTGCTTAGAGTGACTCTTTAAAAAATAATGAAGAAAAATTAAATTACATAATTAAATTAAAAGTACAGAGTGCATGTTAGAACATCTTTCTTCTCACCTCCAAACACTGTAGTGAGAGCTTGGTCCAACCCACCCAGGCGGGTAAGGTATTGAGAATTCCAACTGCAGCAGTTGACAGATCTCTGGGTCTGGCTTATAGCAGATAAAAGCCACTAACAGAGCTGTACTCTATGCACCATCAATATTGCTATGATGCAAAGTTGTGATTGTGCTTAGATTGACCCATTAAGGACGGTGGGAGAGGAAGTTGGTGATGAGCTGTAGTGATTTAAGAGGGAGGGTGGTGATAGCTAATGACGATGAGAGATGGCGATGTCTAACGGTGGTGAGAGAGGTTTATGCATATATTGAAAATTATCACCATTTGGCATTACCGCCACCCTCTCCGATCACCATTAGACATCACCTTTCCTTTCTCCCAACACCATTAGAGATAAGACCCTCTATTTAATATTTTAATTAGACATCTCCAGGGCTGCCATCAGTGGGTGTCTGGGTGTATCTGTATGGATATGTTTGGATGTGTGTAATAGTGTGTATCTGACAATACATATATTTGTGTGTGTGCGTGTGTGTCTGGAAATGTCTATCACTGTGTAAGTGTGTGTACGATGTGGCAGTGCGTATCTCTCTGTGTGGCAGTATGTATTTTTTTTATATGTATTGAATTATAGTATCACAAACTTACTTTACTGAACAGACATATTTAACCCTTTAGTAACGTGTTTACCAGCTTTCCTCAGGAGAGTACGCTCATAGAGAACAAAGACACAAGCTGATTAAGTAAACATTTAATATGACAAAAAGGATTCACAGTGCCCTGTACAAAAATACAGAAATAAATTACATACCAAAACAGAGATAAGTTGCAAAACAGTCCATAAAATAGGAGAAAACACAAGAAATCCGTACATATATTTACAGATCGTATAGAATTCTTGTGGGAGGTTCAGATGTTAAAGTTCTCCAAGCAGTTGTTAAACAGAAATATCTCTGGATAATTTAGCATTCTCATTATATTACTCAACCTGGTTGTTTCTAAGTGGCCAGACCCCTGGGTGAATCAGAAAGGTTTGGCCTGGCAGTTTATTGCCTACTCCATCAAACCTGTCCAGGGCACTAATGTGGATTTACTTGAAAACACAAGAGGCTTTACAAAATGCGCAAACATGCTAACTTTAACTCCTTGGAAAGGGTCCATTCTGGCTTCCCATGACCGGCACACCTTCCACTGGGCACGTTTGGTACCAAACAAATGGATATAACCTGGGCAATCTGAATATATATTCATATTGGGTCTTCTGATTATATAAACATGTTCTCCCTATTTCCTTACATGATGTTTACATGTCCTTTCTCGTCTTGACTATTGTAATCCGCCTCTCAGTGGTCTTACGTGCTCTCAACATATGCTGTTCCAGTCCATAATGTATGCGGCGGCGAGGCTCATCTTTCTGTTCGCCCGCGCCTCTCAGACCTCACCCTTCTGTCAGTCCCTACATTGGCTTCCTGTAAGATATAGGGCTCAATTTAAAATTCTGGTTCTTGCTTTCAAATCTCTACATAGTGCTGCTCCCACCGCTCTATCCTCCCTAATACAGAAGTATGTCCCATCTAGGCCCTTATGCTCTGCTGATCTTCTGTCCGTGCTCCCACCTCTGATGCTCGCCTTCAAGATTTCTCGAGGGCTGCACCGTTCCTGTGGAACTCGCTTCCCTCCTCCGTTAGATGCTCACCCAGTCTCCACTACTCCTCCACAAAAAAAAAAAATCAGTAAAAACCCACTTCTTCATAAAAGCGTATCAAACTGTTAATAGCTTCCGACTGATTCCTCTTCTGCAACTGTCACTAGTATAATACTATCCCTTACCTTTTTGTGTCATTTTACCCCACTCCCTCTAGCATGTAAGCTCATTGAGCAGGGCCCTCAACCCCTCTGTTCCTGTGTGTCCAACTTGTCTGGTTACAACTACATGTCTGTTTGTCCACCCATTGTAAACCGCTGCGGAATTTGTTGGCACTATATAAATAATAACAACAATAATGATGATGTTCTCCTTTGAATAACCCAGGGTCAGAGCAAATGCACCATTACTTTTTATGACGCCCTATGTCCAGCTCTGGTGATGGTTATCTAGTAATGACATTATATGGCTTAGGCCTGGTGTTAGATCAAAGTCTACAATAAATTTTATCCCAACATGTCCTATCAGATACCAAATGCCAACTTATCCTTTGGCATGACAGTGTGTCTAGGGGCGTGCGTGCGTGCGTGCGTATAGAATCTGGTTGGTGTGTGTGTGGTGTAGAATCTGCTTTGGCGCGATAAAATAGCCTCAACCCTTCGCCTTGTGGCCTCTACACTAGCAGTGGTAATGGTGTTAATAATAACCTCACTGAGTGAGCAAACATATGCCCTCCTCTTAAGAAGCGGAGCACTGGTGGGAGGGTGTAAAAGACGTGTATCACTGACTCTGCCCAAAAGGGGGCAAAGTCAGTTCAAATTACTGTCAGGTAAGCAATGCGTATATGCACACCCGGCTGCATGCCAATCAAGCAAGATTTAGGATCAGAGTGCTTTAAGTGCAAGTGCTAATGGAGGGTTCATTTAAGGCCAAAATAACAGAACTGGGAGCATGGCAGATTTAGAGAATTTTTCCCAGCTCAGCTACTTTGGCCTTAAAAATCCTTAAGCTCATTTGAGCAGGGTCTTCATCTCTAAATATCTCCTTTCTATAATTGTAACACACTGCAGAATATATTGGCGCTATATAAATGTTAATAGCAATAACCACTAAACCGGGAATTAAGGGAAATTGATCCTGGAATTTTGTCAAAAACCAACGTACTAAATTATTGTGGCGTAAAATGTCAAATTCAAACGTTATTGAATAACCCCATGTCCTCAATCTCACCATGTCTAACAATGTGCCAATCTGCCCCAATTCATTTCTGAGAACATTTCTCCTATATCTCAAGGTATCCTCAGACCTTAATGTGTGTCCATCGTTTTTTTCTTCCTGTTTAGACCACAGCATATGATCTAGCCTTCAACTCTTAACCTATTTATAGGATGTCTTTCCAATACATTTTGAAGGAGTTTGGAAAATTTAGACTAAGTTTTTTTCATCTAAAGATCTAGTTTTCCAAATACAAAAAAATGAAATGCATATTAAAGGATTATACTCTTTCACGCTTTGTAATATCATAAAAAAGTGCGTATCAGACAGGTTTTGTTTTTATTTTCGATAAAAATGAAAGGCAAAAAACAATTCTGGGTCTTGCAGAATTGTCCACAGTACTAAAACCATTAGTCCAATGAATCAGTTAGGTAATCGTGATCTTCTCGCCATGTATCCCTAGGGATAGACATCCACTGGAAGCTGGAAATCCTTAAATGTGTAAAAGGCAACTTCTCCACAGTTCACTAAGGCAAACACTACAGGTACATCTCCGCTTCGTAACGCCAGGCACTTCACTGTATGCAGGGAGGGGATTGGCTCATCGAAGCTACAAGTAAAACAAGACAGCGTTTACGGAGACAGAAGATTGAAAAGCTGAGATGTTAAGAGTACTAAAGTTTGTTAAAATGGATAACTTAATAAAAACCATAAAGGAATATGCAAAGCATCCCAACTACTAGAGTATGCAGTAGTTATGGTGCCAGGAGTGCTATAGCACCCGCTCCCCAACGTTAGCAGTCAAACTGCTTAAAGAAACACGTAAGAAACCATAACCACTGAAGCGAGTGATGGTGGTTATGGTGTCTAAAAGCCTTAGTGCTCCCCCTCCAGGGTAAGTAATGTAAGTAAAAGAAGCTCTGTCTGAGGTAAGCCCATTAGTGCGGCGCTTAGCTCATTTGCTGAGAGTGATCAGGTGAGAATCTCAGCCAATGAGGAGGGTAGCAGCGTCTGAAGGACACCAGGCAAAACGTTCCTGGATTCTATTTGAAAAGAAAAGAACGAGAAAGCTGCAATTATTTATCTAGAGATCTCCTATACCAGTCCTTTCAAGGCCCTTAGAAGAGCCAGCTTATTTTAAGTGGCTCAAAATCATGTGAGTGAGACTTATCATCCACTGTATATTACCTTTGTTTTACTATACTACCCAATGTTTTTCCCTGTCTTTTATTACAGGAATACCGTTTGATTGATTTACATGTGGTAATATGTATTTGTTATTGTGTGCTCTTACCATTTTATATTATCTGTTTGTAGCCCACTGTAGTGGTTATGGTGCCAGGAGTCCACAGGCGCCATGTGATGGTAAGATGTCAAATCATTTTAGTATGGTTTTACAACTTACCTGGTTCCAGTTAGGCACTTGTGCTACGTCCATTTCATTTAGTCTTGTGCAGCAGAATAATCTTGATTGCTGTACAGAGCAAAGCATGGCCAGGTTGGACCGTGATGATTGGCTGAGAGCGTCAGCTGAGTACTCTGAGCCAATGATCCTTGGCTGTGCTTTGCTCTACAGAGACATCTGACTTGTGTTACACGGGTGCTTTGCGGGACACAGGTAAGTTGTCAATCTGTGCTAAAACGATTTAATGCCATACTGTGATACGGCACCAGGGTACTCGTGGCACTTTAACCACTATAGTGAGCTTTATGTTGCTTGGAACACACATGTTGCTTTACAATCCCCAAGGATCTCTAGTACTTAAAGTGTTATATAAAAGATCCACATTATTAGCTAATACTTAATCCAGACAGGCACCTTCTCTAAATGGTTCTTCTGCTAGCTGAGATACGAAGCTGCCATTTGGAAGAAAAAAAATCCCTCCATTGAACTTTTTATCCCAAATAACATCTGGTTAATTCATATTTCACTTAAAACCAAATTTAACTGTGCTTCTAAATGTGCTAAACAACAATGTGTAGGATTTGGAACACTGAAAGTGAATCGGTTTCTAATGTTCGATATAGTCCCATACCTGCACACACAAATTCGAGCATATGGCTTCCCTGGTCTGGATTTTTTGAACTCTGAGGTTCCATCAGACTGATGCACATCAAATAGAATCTGAGGCATATCTGGTGCATAGTTCTGCAACCTGGGAGACAAAATGTGATTATTACATGATATACCATCCTTTAAACATTGATTGGTTCTTCCTGCACATACACAAAGTACAGTCTCACCTATTACTGTCATCCAGAAGGTGGGATTGATGCATCACTGTGATCTGTTCCAAGACAGAAGCTGTTTACAAAGATAAAATATAAACAGTGTAAATACTGAAACAATATGCAATCATAGGGATGCCTTTGCACATGCAGTAAATGTATAAATACATTAAATTGAAACAGAGGCGACAATTTTGACTTTTTCCACTTTTATAACATTTTAACTGTATATTACAACTATTTCATATAGTGCAGATAAACTCCACATATAAAAAGGTACAGTTTTCTTTTTATTCAATTCGAAGACATTTGGAAATGAATTGGCACACAGCTACCTGTTTTCCGACAGTAATCATTTTATACATATCCCTAGAAGCCAACAAGGTTGGTGACTGTGCTATTTCACCCAGGGAAACACGTTTAACCCTAAGCGTCACTGTGACTTAAATGTGTCACTGTGCAAGTGTTTATGGTCAGCAGTAAGTTTTCCAGCAATTTGGTCAGAGCAGATGGACTAGCCTTCACTCCCCACGTGAATCAGGACCTCGATGCTGGTCTACTGGTTGTCCTCAGTTGCACCACTTTTTGGTAGGTACGAACCACTGCATACTGGGAACACCTCACAAGACTTGCCATTTGGAGATGCTTTGACCCAGTCATCTAGCCATCACTAATCGGCCCTGGTCAAAGTCACGTAGATCTTTTTGCTAGCCCATATTTTTCCTGCCTCCGACTCATGAAAATCAAGAACCAACTGTTCACTTGCTGACAGGTGCTATGTAACGATACAATCAATGCTATTCACTTCATCGGTCAGTGGTTTTAATGCTGTGGCTGATCAGTGTATAAATGTCTTGGTTTCTTATGAAATCTGCACTTTTATAAAATAACTCTGCAGCGATAGGCAATTAACACCTTAAATACATCAGGAAACTGAAGTTCTTGAGATGTTTGGAGTGCTCTTAAATAGTGAATTACGCTGGCCTTGTATAGCGTGTTACTCGAAATACACCAAATCTCTAAAATACCGACAGGAATATCTTTGCAAAATATTTGGGGAACTTATAGGGTTAAGTTACAAAGATGCCAAAATTCTGATATGTCTTTTCTTTTGTTCCAAGACAATTTTTGTGTTACCAAACGGACCAGAGTCAAGTTTTTAAATTCTTTCCAAAATGTACCTAACCCTAACCAACTTAACCAATCATTCTTAAAGGGATTCTCCACCCCCCCCCCCTTATTTTAAGTTTATGTTTTAAAGTATAATGCCCCGTAACTAAAAAATAAGCATTAAATCAGGTTATTACTTACCTGGAACCCAGCACAAAGTGAAGCTTCCGGTGACGTTTTCTACGCGTCTTTGTGATGCCAGGGCTGCTGTGCCAGGTCCAATCATGTGCTTTTCATAGAGAAGCCTCTGATTGGACATATACAACAGCCTGTGTGATGATGACGAGGGGAAGGAGGGAGGAGGAGAAAGGGAGGGTTTAAAAAACTATTATTTCAATTTCTTCAACAGCGGAAGAGAGCAAACAGTGGGAGGGAGGGGAGAGCAAGGGAGAAGATCTTTACATCTGTCACCAGACATAAAATGTGCAAAGAATTTACAATAGGCTCCGGGCATAAGTCACATGTGGCAGGGGCCATTTGCAACCAAAAGTGCAGTTTACTCAGGATATGCACTGTTTCAAGCTGAAACATTGAACATCCATAAAACCCTACCACTATGACCACTTCAAATCACTGAAGTTACCATGGTGGTTGGAGTAATCCCTTAAGCTGACTGTGCCCCATGTTGAGTGACAGCTGTAAGAGCCAATCACAGAGTTCACGCTGCTTTAGTTGTCAACATGGAATGCCATCTCCACGAATGTCTCTCGGGGCAGACAGCCTAAAAGCAGATGAATCCATAGTTCTGGATTGCTTCTTTTGTGAGTAAAAGACAATAGCCCAATGCATGTTAAATACAGCATATGCCCTCTACAGAGACTATGTGTAGCCCGGGAGCATTGTCTGACAGGCTTGACCAGGGCAGCCTCTGTACAGGGAGTTGTTGGGTGTCTCATACTTGAGATATCTAGCAATAGCCATTACATGCCATGAGCTGCAGGTGCAAGATGTTCCCATATTGTCCTATGGCTTCACAAGATGTGGAATGCTGCCAAAGTGAGCAGGTGCCTCGTGAAGCTACCCGGTTGCTATTGCTGGATTGCCTCACTAGTGAGGAGTCAATAGTATAGCAGCACTTGTGACTGCCTATGTACATCAATGGTCACTATGCACAAAGTGTATACTTTTTTGTCGACAGTAATTGCACAACACCAAACTGCATATTTGTGGAACATAGTTGACCTGTCTTTAGACTTAAAAAAACCCTTACAAAATAAAACGAAAGAAAACAACGTACATGCAAAACAAAAAGAGTCAGAACATACCGCTGGACAGTATAAATGCAAATTTAGCAATATTACGCAAAATAAAAAAAAATGACAAACCCTAAAAAGACAATATAAAATATAGAGCAAAAACAAAAATAAGTGACTGCGATAAGATGTGTTTCAAATAAAGTATAATAATTTCTCATTGACACTATTAATTTCCTATTTCACCTGTGCTCATCCCATGTTGAGGTGTCACCAGTGGAGTTATGTTACCGGCCCAGAGATGATGAGGCCTTTCTTTCTGGCTAGAATGTCCCCTATCCTGCAGGAGTTTCTTGTATTCCTTCCAACTCGTACATTTCTGTACCATGGGGTCTGCGTTTATGCTGGTCTTGAACCGTTGCTCCCAATCATACTGCTCTTGTTCCCTTCGGGACATTTTGTCCATTTTCTGATTCAGCCTAAGTCTCCATAGTGATATGTCCAACTCTCGCCCGGCTACATTTTCTGGCAGAAGTTCATGTTCAGGCGGGGGCAGCAAGTTGCAGGAATGGTCCGGGGCACAACTGGGAAAGAGGATTTTGGAAAAGTCCCAACGGAAAGGGCTTCTTAATTTTTCCGTCTGAGTGTTCTCTAACTGGTTGGCAGATTCCGGGTTTATATCTTCTATGGTATCAGCAATACGAGCACCCGTGGATGTGAACTGGTTAATCCAGACACTGGAATTTAAAGATTGTTCTACTTTCAGATCTTGTATGTCCTCAAACACGGTTTGTTGATCTTCTTTGTTTTGCTTTAAATTCTCTTTTAACCTTTAAAAAAAAAAAAAAATTAAAAAAAGAAAAGAAAAGTAGTATGCCTTTTTTATGTACGCCGAATCAGAGTAATGAGAAAGGAAAAAAGGAAACCAATTACTTACTTTGGACTGGAGCTCCGCTTACGTTTTTGACGAGATCTGCTGCAAGGTTGAACATTAATCTGCCTTTCGTAAGTGGACATTACAGAACTGCAGAAACAAAGTGATGGAGAGAAGAGTCAAGAGACGAATGAAAGGGGTATAGTGTTTCATTAATGACAACAGATCAACAAAATAGAAATCATGTGTAAACTGTGGGGGAAAGGGCTGGCAAGGTTTTAGTACCCGAAGATAAAGTAAGAAAAGCACAACATCAACTCTGCTATCTCCAGAAGGATATTGATACTTTAGAGAGAGTTCAGAGAAGGGCTATTAAACTGGTTCATGAATTGCGGGATAAAACTTACCAGGAAAGGTTAAAGGATCTTAACATGTATAGCTTGGAGGAAAGACGAGACAGGGGGGATATGATAGAAACATTTAAATATATAAAGGGAATCAACACAGTAAAGGAGGAGACTATATTTAAAAGAAGAAAAACTACCACAACAAGAGGACATAGTCTTAAATTAGAGGGACAAAGGTTTAAAAATAATATCAGGAAGTATTACTTTACTGAGAGGGTAGTGGATGCATGGAATAGCCTTCCAGCTGAAGTGGTAGAGGTTAACACAGTAAAGGAGTTTAAGCATGCGTGGGATAGGCATCCTAGCTATAAGATAAGGCCAGTGACTAATGAAAGTATTTAGAAAATTGGGCAGACTAGAAGGGCCGAATGGTTCTTATCTGCCGTCACATTCTATGTTTCTATGTACTGTATTGTCTTACCTGGCTTTAAAGCGGGTGACAATATAGCCCAATCTCTTCAGATAACTGTAAACCTGTAAATAAGCCAAGAACACATACTGGAATGTTAGACTTGTGCACCAGTTGGGTTTGGAATAGCAGTTTCTGTCTGTGTATAACACTAGGATTGGGAAACCATACGCAGCCCTTTGGCTCATTAGTCTACACCTCCAGGAACCTTAAAGGAACACTCCAAGCACCATAACCACTAAGCATGCAGGCTCCAGCACTTCATGTAAGTAGTCAAACTGTTTTAGAAGGATTTGACATCTTACATGGGGTCTGTAGGCTGACACTCTTCACCTCCATCAGAGATTTCAGAGTAGTATTGGGTGAGAGCATCAGTGATTAGCTAGCTCATTAGTGCAGGGATGAACGAAGGAGAGCTAACAGAAGCTCCGAAAGCTGGACCTTCCGGGTACAGGGTGGAGATGGCGAGCGACAGCTGGTTGTCTCAAGGTAAGATTTCGATCTGAATACATGCAGGGTGGGGCGGCACTCCTGGCACCATAACAACTACAGCCCGCTATACAGTGTCTTTAACCAGCCTGCATCTGTGTATGGCAGATGTACTCCCAAAATGCTGGATCACTCCAGGCTGGTATATACCTGGTATTGCTGCATTGTGATTGTCTGATGGGTAAGCAGCCTCTCGTATGCCTCCTGGACTGATAATTGCAGCTCTTTGTAAAATATCTGAACGGTGCCCTGGCAAGAGAAAAACATAAATTCACTAATAAGCATGGATGCATTCAAAGTCTGTCTACATTAGGAAGAGAGACAAGGATCAACAGCTGCATGGCGAATTCATGTCCAAGAACTGCTTTGTGACATGAATGGAACAGCCAGTTACTGTAAGGAATCTCTGGAGGGTAAATTAATGGGGATTACCATATTATCTTGCCCTGCAATAGGTAATGAACTCATATGATCCGTTTCTAAAGAGTGGACAGGTTAATCAGGTCTGAGATCAATTATCTTTTATTTAAACCGGTTTCATCAAATTCCAATAACTGGATTACGGAGTCTCACTGAACTTGAAATGCTACTGTATGTATTAAACTTTACAGCTGCTCCACCTCCACGCTGGAGTTCACCTTTCCTTGTCTCCCTTCTTGTTCGGGTCTAGGATCGATGATTTTTGATCATGACAACGGATAACTTCTCTGCTTCTCTTCTGATACACCTTACTTAGGTGCTCTATACTTGGCTTGACAATAATTCCCCAGTTCACGGTGCTAAGAAACCGACTGCTTAACTAATGTCAGCCTGGGATCTGGAACCTGGACGTTCTTTGTCCTGTAAGTTATATATTGGACTGCTATACTCTTTCCAACCTATACTTATAGATCTCACTGCGTAAGTGCCGCTAATTAGCTGAAATGAGAAAAAAAAAACACTTGGCCTTAAATTTCAAAATGCACTTTGAATTTTCACTTCAGTAAATAACCCTGAGATGCTGACTGATTCATTGTTGCCAGACTCAGCCTTGGATCCCGGTCACAACTCCCCTCTAAACTCACTACTTATATTAATCATTGCCGCTGACTGACCTCACAAAGGAAACACTTAAAACCTATAATGTCCAAATAAATACTTCTATATATTCACTTTCTGTTCTCGTTCTCTATTGATTCAACTCAGTTGTAACTCTTATTGCTACAGTCTAATTCTTTTAAAACAGGGTATCTACTTCCGGATGTTATTTGTTTTTCTTAAATGTAATGGGTACATTTTCCCCTATATTAACCCCTAAAGGACGGAGCCAAATGTACACGTTGTGAATGAAACAAAATGTAAACAAAACCTGGCATTTGCGCTACATGCCTGTCCAACCGTAATTCATCTCTTTCATAGTAAATGCACCCACCCTTATTATATATCATTTTATTCAGGGGAAACAGGGCTTTCATTTAACAGCAAATATTTAGCAATATTTGGGGGAGGGGGAGGGGGAGGGGGAGAGGGAGAGTGTGTGTGTGTGTGTGTGGGGGGGCCTAGTGTGTGTGTGGGTGGGAAGGGACCTAGTATGTGTGTGGGGGGACCTAGTGTGTGAGGGGGGACGGGACCTAATTTGTGAGGGGGGACGGGACCTAGTGTGGTGGGGGAGGGGGACCTAGTGTGTGTGTGTGTGGGGGGGGGCGAGAGACCTAGTGTGAGAGGGAGGGTGACAGGGTGAGGTGGGGTGACTGTGAGGGGAGTGACAGGGTGTGGTGACTGAGTAAAGGGTGACATAGTGTGGGGGGTCACAGGGTGGGTGGCAGGGTGAGAGGGACATGAGTTTCGCCTAAGGCCTCGCCAAGTCTAGAGCCTCCACTGCTTTTGACTTCTACACCTGCTGTTTTAAAATTACATGTAAGCAAATAAAATGGTTATGCACTTTATATTCAAACTTGCACTTTCTCTTCCCATAAAAGATCCTGAGACTGTCAAGGTTCTGAAGCAAGAGAGAGTGATCTCTTTAAAGATTATCTGATAGCTTGAAGTTGGCCAATCGAACTTATACAAAGTTAAACACAAGGTGGTGCCTTTTGTATTTCCCCTAGCGAAATCACCCCTACTTTCTTGTTTTAAGTCTGTGGTTGAAGATTAGAGGAAATCTTCGGGGTGGATTCATTGCTGAAGGGAAGTTTTATTGATTTTACATTCATCATTTTTTGCACATATATTTGCACTTGCATAAGTAATAGGTTGTCACCACACATTGATATATTCGTCACACACACGACAGGAATTGAGATGTATACTCACACACTCTAGTAAGTAGACTGCTTCCTCTGGTAGGAGGCACTGCTTTCCTTGTTCGGTGGACCCCATGGTCTGCCAAAACTTGCCCTGTAAAGAGAATGCGTTAAACAGAGATACTACAGTGCCAAAATAAATCACTGCTTAGTAGATATCCCCCAATAAAAACATGTATGCATTTATTAATACAATTAATAAAAGTCTAAAAACAGCTTACAAAACCCACAGTTGCCTTGTCTGCTGCCTTGTCAAGCCCTTCCTCCCCAGCCCAGACTTTCTATGGTTGTCCAATCACAGACTATCCAATGCAGCTCAATGAGAAGTATTTGCAAGGCAAGTGCTGTGGGCAATTGCTGCCTCTTGAGTTTAGCTCCACAAACCAGGAAGTAACCAGACCTGTTCCGTGCTGCCTAATGTCAATTCTGTGCATATTTTATGTAGGTCGTCACAGTGCACCACAAGCCTTCAACGGATATTAAAATCTTTTCCCTGGCAAGTAGAGAGCCTATCATCCCTTCTCCCTCTCCCTTCCGCAAAATGGTCCAATCAGAAACTTCTCTGAGAAGCCTATAATTGGACCGTGTAAATGCCGGGTGACATCATGACTGGATGTGGAAGATCATCACCTGCTGCTTCGCCTGGAACTGGATTAAGGCGAGTTTAAAAATCTCTTACATGTTTCAGAGGAGTGGACCTAACAGTTAAGTCCTATAGTGAAATTGTAGTATTTGTATTTTAATTACCAGGGTTGGAGTAACCCTTTTAAGACTGTGGAACAGCAAGTGGCAATGATGAACGACCACCTACAGAGTTTACATGTAAAAAAAAATTTAAAAGTTAGAACATGGTCTGATGATAACAAGACTGCACCAAGAACAGTCCACATTATTACTAGTAAATGATTTTAGTGTCTGTAGTCACAATGGTGCTCTTAAAGATCAAGTGTTAGCCCCAATCATGTCTTAAATTTAGCTATAGGCACCCAGACCACTTCAGCTCATTGAAGTGGTGTGAGTGCAGTGTCCTATCCACCTTAACCCTGGAAAGGTAATTATTGTAGTTATTAATAATTACCTGCTAGGCTTAACTGCTCCTCTAGTTGTTGTCTACCAGACAGCCACTATAGGGATTTCCAGGCTTTTAGGCGACTTCTGCATGAGGCTTCCAGCGTCACCGGAATCCACATAGTAAAGCACTGAATAATGCTTTGATAAGGGAAAATCCTAATGCGAGCGCAGCTGTTGCCATGCATGC